GCGGAACTGCTGAACTGAGCTGTCCTCTTTCCAATGCCAGCTCCCACTCCCCATGCCACCGAGAAGTGTCCCACGGGCACTGGCAGAGTTAAGGCTGCCCAGATTCTAGCTGGGCTGGCCTGAGCTCACAGGCTCACCTTTGGTGATAGTGGTGACAGCCGAAAAGGCGGGCCCGAAGGTCGTTTCCATCCTGGTCTGGAAAGAGAACTGATGAGACCTGGCTTTGACTCCAGAGAGGATGTGGACACACGCGAACATGCACTGACATGCTTTCACACCAACACACTGTGTATGTGCATCACAGCCCACCCACAGGACCTCCAGGCGGAAACAGGACGGCTCTAGAAGCTCTGCGGGGGCCCTGGACCTGTGGGGTGTGCACAAAGGGCAGACCCTCACCACAGGGCGCCCCTTACCCCAGTGGTGATGTCTGGGGTGGGAAGACTGGAAGGTCCACCAGAGAAACGGTTGTACCAGGCGCTTTTGCCCGAGCTCATGCTCTAGAGAGGCATCTAGGGTCCTTCGGCAGCGTCTCCTGCGGGTGGAACACAAAGCGGAGCTTTAGCCCTGGTGGCCAGGCCTGTCGACTGGCCAGGGCCGCTCCACATGGCAACCCGCTCCGGCCGGCCCACCACAGGGCATGCCATGCTTCCACCTCCTTCCTTCCATCAGCAGCACCAACAAGGGCAGGTCCACTGGGGCAAAGTCTCTGCCCCTCCCTGCCCACAGGTGTGCCGCCTGAGGACGGGAGGAGGCCCTGGCGAGGGCAGGAAACCGACACTCAGTTTTACCTTCCTTTAAGGCTTAAGCCTTTGGCAATGCCCACCCAGCTCAAACCCAGGGGTGGAGAGCCATCCCCCCACCCCACATCAAATGTCCCTGGGGCCAAGGCTGCACACACACGGAGTCACAAGCCTATTTCCTGCCACAATGGCAGAGACACTGGCCACACCTTAGACAACCTGTTGGGTGGTGTACCTGGAGCCCTCCTCCTCACAAGCCTCATCACAGAGAGAAAGCCCATTGTGGGCAGGAGGAGGGGCCAAGAGAGAGGAGCTGACTCTTCACCTTCTGCAGGTCACCCACCCCAGAAACAAAGGCTGCCTCCCTGCCCCCCAACTGTGTGACTCAGGTCTCAGGCGGATGGCAGGGAGAAGGCGTAGTGTGAATCATCCCGGGCCTCCCTGCTCCAGCCCTCAGAAGAGAGGGGAGGGGCGGCCCAGGAGCACTGAGCAGACCAGGGATGTGGGGAAGTGAGGAAAGGGATTAGAGACACTGAGGACAGCAGGAAGAGCTGCTCTATTGCCTGACAGTGCCCACCCTCCAGTTGTCTTCCCACCGCCAAGACTCACAGCAGTCTGCTGTCACGAGCCCCACCTGCCCCTTCTGTGGTGGAGTTGGCCGTGTTGAACCACAAGGCCCAGGCTTGAAGCTGGGCTCCCCACAGAGAGGGAGGCCAGGCTCATCTTACTCCCAGTGGTGTCATGGGAGGTCGGGTGGGGGGGCCCTGTGGTCTGGAAGCCCCGCAGGACTAAGGAAGGCTCCAGATGGAAGGCTGCTGAGCCCCCCACACTGTGGGAGAAGGCAGGAGACACTGTCAGCCCCATTCCAAGGTGAGTATAGCATGGAGGGCAACAGCACAGTCCAACCAGTTCTGGCACCTTCTCCATCAGTCTCTCCTGACCTGGCCCATCTGGCAGTGCTCCCCCCGCCCTCCCACACACACCACAGTAATGCAGTATGCTGGGGTCTACCCAGTGGTCCCACACCCTGGCCCACAGGTCTTCAGGAAGGGGATGGCTCCTGAGCCCTGTGTCTCCACACCGTGCCCATGAGTTCCCTGTTGTCCCTGATGTCTCTACGTCCCTCTCTCCCCACCTGCTCCTTCAAATGCCACCTGCAATACCACCCTCCTAGCCTTCACAACTCAGTCCTCATCAGGAGGGCTCTCGGGCCTTGCAGTTGGCACTGCTACCAGGCACCACCCAATCCTGTTCTCTGACTGCCCTTTGGGTTCAGCTAATAGGGGTGCCCGAGAGCTTGGCCAAAGCCTCCCCATCCTATCCACTGCTCCTCCTACTGTGACTTGAGGGGCCTGGCTGTGTGCCCCAGACCAGACCCCCTGGTGGCTTGTCCTTTGGAGGAAAGGAAGAGTCTCCAGAGAATGGGCAATCCCAGGCCCTCAGGCAGAGGTGTGAGTGTAGCCTGTTTGGAAGCCTCACCTCCAGCACCACTGCTGGTCTCCATACTAAGCAGGAAGTCTCCGGGCCACCCTGCTTGGGGGTAAGGACACCTGGCCAGGGTAAGGCCCGGACAGCCCAAAACAGGAGCTCCAGGACTCGACCAGCAGCAAGAAAGGCTCTGCCCTCTCAGGAAGCTCTCGGTTGGCTGCTGTCTCAGCACCACAGGGCAGGGAGGAGGCTGGGGACTCACAGGGAGGCCACTGCTGACACTGACCTGCATCTTACAATCCAGCTGCTCCCTCCACTGCAAGCTCCTAAGGCTGAGGCGCCAGATGCTGGCCCCAGGAACAGTGCCCAAGGGCCAGGGCCAGGACCAGGACCCCAACAGGCACCCCACCCCCGGACCACAGCCAGCCACCAGTCCCTGAGTCCAGCGTGCCCATGTGCCTGTCACTGTAGCCTGGGAGAGCAGGCATCTGGCCATCCCTCACTATGAAGTGAAGTAAACAGAAAGGCATGCAGGGCTCGCAGGGCAATCGCCTGGAAAGTCCTGGGAGGCCAACAACGACCAGGTCCATAGCCCTGACACACAACCTGCTGGGGGGACCTACAAGATTGGCCCACACGTCAAGCTGAGCCAGAAAGGAGGGAGGGAACCATTTCAGGATTCACACTGGTTCAGCCAGGGATGGGGTAGGCAGGACCTGGGGCTGCAATCCAGCACCCCCCATCTGTGCGCCCCGCCCAGCTCCCAACAATGATTGCTTGCTAAGCATCTCAGAATTGAGCAAGATGCTCTCAGCCCAGTCCCCTAAGGACTGCATTTTGCAATAACGGCCTTCCTGTTACGGTATCTTCTCATCCTGCAAGCCAAAACCCCAACTATAAGGATGCTCTGGCCCAGCTGTCCTGGAGATATATCCTGGACCCCCAGAGCAGTAGACCTCTCCCCTACCCCACAGTCAGCCTGAGGAACTCAGGCAGTCAGGAAATTGTCAACTAGAGAAAGAATGCTCACTTGCCTGAGGGCCTGGCTTCTCCCAAACTGGGAAAAGTCTTGGGCTAAGCAGGCTAAGAAGACCTGGGTGAGGGTGGGAGGATGAGAAAAGGTCCCCTCCCTCCCTGCAGCTCCCTCCAAGTCCCCACCCTGCTGTTCCCAGGGGCCTCAGGGGAGCCCAGGGGAGGGACCCAGGGATCTTTGTCTGCCCCTGTCTGTATCTAAGGGTTACAGGGCTCTGGCTTTCCAGGGCTCTAGGGTGCTCTCCCTGTCCAATGGACCTGAAGAGCCACTTGCAATGCTCTAGCCCCTCTTTAGGAAACACCCACCAGACCCCTTCTCTGAGCAGCCCACATGGGAGGGCAGGTCAGCTAGTTGGGAACCCCTCCACAGCCCACTGCCCTGGAGGGAGCCCAGGATCTACTGCTCCCCCCCTTTCCCTTGGGAAACACTCAGAGGGGTTGTGGATCAGGCCCCGCCCACTTGGGCCCTGTGGCTAGCAGCCAGTGGAGTATGTGGCCCAGGCTGGCCATGCTGAAGTCAGGGGCAGTGGGTTGGCCAGATGCAGGTCCCCATTAGAGCCAAGCCCTTCTTTGAGGCAGCTCTTCCAGCACCTCCAGGCCTTTGCACATCTTGCTCCCTCTGCCTGGCACGCTCTTCCAGCAACTCCTAGGACAGTCTGCTTGCTGTAGGACCCCCCACCCCACCCAAAGCCAATCAGGAGCCTCCAATACTTTCTTTCTCAGCGCCTGCTTTTTTCATAGCACCTACCACAATTCCTCACGATTTTGTCTGTATATTGTCAGTACTCCCTCCCTCTAGATCACGGGTTCTCAAGGTGGGGGAGGATTTTGTCCTCCAGGAGACGTTTGGCAATGTCTGGAGGCTTTTTTTTTTTTTTGGTTGTCACAGCGGAGGGTGGGGAAGGTTACTGGTACCTACTAGGTACAGACCAGAAATGCTGCTCAATATCCTACAAGGCACAGCAGGGAATGATTAGCCTTCAGTGTCAACAGTAGCGAGGCTGAGAAATCCCACACCATAAGAGTCTATAAGAACTAGGATCGTGCTCTCTGCAGTCTCCTGGAGCCTACAACAGTGTCGACCACCCCGGCTGCGCTCAATAAACACAAGAAGAACGAATGAATAAAAAGAAAGAGAAAGAAAGAATGAAGCGAGCAAGAAGTCAGCTGACACGCAAAGAGAGGGACTGGAGCGGAGACCCCGTTTCGACTCAGCCCCGCCCCTCAAGGCTCAACCCCTTGCCGGACCCCAAAGCACCCAGCCCCCGCCCCACCTCGTGGCCCCGAGGCGCGAGGGCCCAGCGCGACGCGCGGACACTCACCCGCCCACGGCCGCCCGGGAGTGGCAGGACCACCCTCCCTTTTCATCGTGCCCCTAAGGCCGCCGGCTGAGAAAGGGACGTGAGAGCGAGCCGGAAGTGTCAGGCGCTGAGTCCATCGGGATTTGTAGTCCTTCGGCTCTCTAGTGGCCGGGAGGCTGTCCCAAGCGCGACTCTTCGGAAACTACGACTTCCGGCGGCGCCGCTGTCGCGAGGCTGGAGTGGCGGCTTCAGGGTCACTCTATGCGGAAGATAGGAGTCTAATTGGCTCTGTGCATCCGTCGCTCACAGGTTTAATGGCCTGTACAAAAGGTAAGACCGCCCCCAAAAGAAATGCCATGGTGCTATTGGTGAAATCAGGAAGAGTAGAGGGCGGAGCGTGTCAGCGGCGGGGGCGGATACTCTGCTGGGATTATCCAATCGCAGAGGTGGGGCAGTTTCTATAAAAGCTTGAACCTCGCGTGTTCTCGTTCTTTCGGAGTAAAGTATGAGACTGGGGTCAAGTTGATGTTTGGACTCCATGTGTCATGCCTGGAGAGGAGTTGGGCACCGAATGAAGCCGAGGAGGTCGTCAAAACCCACAGGCTGGCGTAGCCCTGAGGTCCAGCCTCGGCCTGATCGCCACCGTTGTCCTCACCGTTGTCCACGTTTCTTGCCCACCCTTCAGGCTCCCGAAGTTCCGTCGAGGAAGTCCGAACCTCCAGACCTACAGTTCCCTACAGGTAAGGCAGGGCCAAGCCTGGCTTCCCCGATGCCGCTCCGAGCCTGTGATGAATTGCTTTAATTTCTGACACCTCGTATGAAAACTGCACGTGCAGTCTGATTATTTTTGCAAGACTGAGGCTTAAGGATGCCCCCCCCCAATGGCGGTGGGTCTGGGGGGTAAAAATAAATGGAGACAATGGGCTTCTGTGTACATATCTGTACTGTCTGCCTTTCAGGACCGTCGGCGACCTGGTTGGAGACCTTGAATTGTAAATCAACGTCTTTCAGGCCAGGAACCTGGTGGTAAGGCTGGAATAATCCATATCGACAATATTTTAAGTGCTTAGCAATAAAGCAAAGATGGTGAGAATTTATTAAAGTGCAAGAGTCTTTATTTTCACACCATAGGAGTCTGGGGGGGGGGGGCTGGCTCATCCCTGGGCAGCCTTGGGAAGGGGTATAGACATAAAAATGAAAATTCATACTTCCCACCTGCTGAGACAACCTCCATTTTGCTTCTAAGGTGCCCCACCCCCCGCCAAAATATTTTTTGGTGCCTTTGCCCTAGGGTGAGTCATGAAATCTTAATTTCTCTTAATTGGCCGAGTGCTCGTTTGTGCCTTTGGAGGGAAGTTGACTTGACTGCCCAGGTTCCCATGTGCTGCTTGGACAGCATTGTGGTCCAGGCAGCCCTGCTCTAATCTCTTTGCCAACCCAGTTACAAGGGAGTGCCACCCTCAGGACCTGAGCTTTGCGGAGAACTCTAAAAGGTGATTTCAATGGACAACACAGGCACTCCAGAAAATACAACTTTATTCACTAGGACTGAAAACAATGGCTCTCAATCAAAAGACTTGAAGATTTTAGTAAAAGATGTAGTACATTACCAGCCCTCTTGGCTTGACCTTGCCAAGTATAGGCCTCAACTGTGGGCTAGTCGTGCCCAATACCATGACCTGCTGAGATGGTGCCCTGGTCAGCAGGTGACCGCTGGTAGTCCTAGTTTACCTGACATTTATGTAATCTACCACATGCTATTACTTGTGTTACAAAGCCACAGTCTTGGCATCCTCCAAGGGAAATTGAGAAGACCCTGTTGATGGAACCAGAGTATCCTGGTATGGGCTGGGAGCACATGCCCCACCCCTGGTCCTTGGCACAAACCCATGTGATTCTCAGTGAAGCCCTCAGCTTGGAGCATTGTCAGGAATTTGGCCAGTCTCTGCCTGGGAAACACGGGCAGCTGAAGACATGGCTTTTTAAGGGGTTAGGGACTGCTGCCTTAACAAAGCTGAGTTCTGTCCAGGAGGGGGCAGCAGAGAGCACCAAGGTTCCCTGCTTAGTGTATCCTTTCCTACAGTTATTTGGCTTTTCTGTGAGGGCCTTGGCTGCGGCAGGTGAAAGACACCTGCACGCCTGGTAGCTCCCTGAAGCCCATTTGTTAGGGTTGAGGCTATACAGATTGCCACCCAGACAAGAGAAGGGCTAGACTTAGCCCGAGAGTGCTGGAAAACCTGGGATTAACCATTGGGTGACAAGTCAGAGGGCCCTGTAGACCAGCTTTCCAGGGGCTGGGCTGAGCCTGGGCCTCCCAGCTGGATGCCTGGTGGCTGTTCCCAGCCAGGCTTAGGGTCTGCAGCAGGAGGCACTGCGGCCCTCCCTCCTGACATAGTCGTGCAGCTGGAAGTGGAGCTTGCTGGGGGCCTTCATGGAGCGCTGCTTCAACTCCCTGTGGGACAGGGGTGACCATGGAACAGGTGGCCTGTACCCCTAATAAGGGGATTCAGACCCTAGATCTTAATCTGGAGGTCTTCCTGGTCACTGCCAGGACTTACTTTGCTATGGCTGTGAAGGCCAAATCCACGTTGAGGCCCATCTTGGCACTGGTCTCCATAAAAGGCAGCCCGTACTCCTGCAAACAGCTGCTGCTAGCCAGGGGACATCTGGGTGGGGACAGCCCAGGCTCTACAGCCCCAGGGGACACCCCTCTAGCCACCCACCTCTCCCAGACTCACCTTGGCCAGTTTCTCCCCATCCTCCCTCTTCACCACACGTTCCTGGGCAGAATCCACCTGGCACAGGGGTCTTGGTAAGAACTGGCCTGGGGCTCACCCCCCTGTAGAGCCAGAGGGAAAGGACAGGGGCAGGTGCCCACCTTGTTCCCTAGCAGCATGAGCACCACGTCGTGCTGGGCATATTCCTGGATCTCAGTCAGCCAGGCCTGTCACGGGAGAGCTGAGACCAGGCTGGTGTTCCCCACACCCCTCCCCTATCCGGGCCATACCCCGCACAGTGCCTCTAACAGGAATGGCCCAGAAATTTACCAGTGTGCCATGCTGAGGTACCCCTGACAAGTGTCAAGGTGGTGGTTGGGCTAACGGAGCTGGAAGGTTACCCAGGCCACCTTTGGCTCATACTCAGTGTGCGCCACCAAAAGCCCAGAGGGGCCCTCTTTTCCCCTCCCTGCTCTCAACAGGGTCCTCAGATCCTGAATGCCATCTACCTGAGGGAGGTTGGGGTTTGGCTCAGGCCCCATCATGGCCCATCACTGTCACACCCATCACTGCCACCACCCCACTCACCGGCCCAGAAGGAAGCCACTGACCTGGATGTTGTCAAAGGAAGCCTTGTTGGTGACATCATAGAGCAGTAGCAGTGCTGGGGGCAGAGGGCCAGTGAGGACACCTCCAGTCACCCCCAACCCTTCTCTGAGCAGAAGCCTAGGGAACAGGGCACCCACAGACAGACCATGACCCCAACTCCCTGGGCTGGGACAGGGTCCATGAGCTCACCATGTGCATCACGATAGTAGGCATGGGTGACACTGCGGAACCGCTCCTGGCCTGCCGTGTCCCAGATCTGCAGTGACAGACACAGGCCAGTGGTCAAGGCTACCCCATCCCCCCCAGGTGCCCTCAACTCACCCTTCCCCAGTTGCCTCACCTGCAACTTCACCTTCATGCCGTCCACGTCCAGTACTTTGTTCTGAAACACAATCAGCCATCTCCAGCAATGAGCCCAGTGCCGTGTGCTGGCAGGGGCCTTCAGCTGGGGCATGGGGGCAGTGCAGGACAGGAGAGGCAGGCAGTGCCAGGCCAGGACTGAGCCTGAAATTGATGATCCCCTGGTGTGCCCCTGAATTCCATCTTAACCTGTTGGTCCCTCAGTTGGCCAGGCTCTGCCCCCAACACCCACCTCCTGGTTAACCTCACCTCCTAACTGGAGGTGACACTTCTTGAACCCAAGTCCTGGCGTCAGCCCAGCCCTCCCGTGTGTCTTTGGTGAGCCCCTGCTGATGACACATGGTCAGAGGGCACCCAGGCCTCTCTCCTCAGATGGACATAGTGATGGACTTGCAGGCTGCTGCCCTCCACGGCCATGAGTGTCTAATTCTGGGCCAGGTTGTTCTTACCAGCCCACCCTGCAGACCTGGCATACTGCCGCACCAGTTGCACTGCCCCTTGCTGTCACCCACCCTTCAGTCACTGACTCCAGTTGCTCTGGCCCTCCCCCAGCACCTCTCAAGCCTGGCCCCTTCACCCTAGCCTGCCTCCTATTCCCAGTGCCCACCAATTCAGCCTTACCCCACACACCTTTCCCCTGCACTCTCCCCAGTGTAGACCCAAGCCCCCTTACTAGCCACTGGCATCTCTCAGCTCTGACATGCTGCTCCTTTTGCTTGGAGCTATTTGCATAATAACATTTGAAGTCACCTGCCATGTGACCCCAGGTCCATTACTAATACTCTGTGCCTCAGTTTCTCCATCCACAAATGGGGATAGCAAGGGTGCCCATCACACAGCTGCTCCAATGACTTTAGCTACTATGTGCAAAGCACTGAGAACTGTGTCTGGCCCAGAGTGAGAGCTAAGAGCATTTGTTGTCATTTAAAAGCTGCTCTCCACAGGGGAGGGCAGTTCCCTGAGGACAGAGCCCAGTGCAGTAACCGGAGCGCAGAACTGCCTTGTACACAGTGGGTGCTCACTTCATGTTTGCCGCCTGGCTATGCTCTCTAGCCAGCCCTGAAGGGAGTGGCCCACCCTGGTTTCCATCTACCAGGTGGGGATGGGGGGTAGGTGGAATGTCACTGTCTCCCTTTTCTCAAGCTCTTGCTGTCAGGGTGCTTCTGGGTCTCCAGGGAACCAAGCCCAGCCATCTGTCAGGCTGGGAGGACACCCCGCCTTCCGTGTCGCCTGGAACAGGGGTGTAAACCAGCCACCTCACCTCCCTCACCACCTGCCCCAGAACCGAGAGGGAGGTGAGAAGGGGGGCTGCAGAGCCAGAACAGGCAAAAGACCACCTGCCCTGAGCCTACACAGCCCCCTTCAGGCACCTGAACCCTTAAACTCCCTTTCAGAGAACTTGAGGGGATCTGGTCCCCCCAAACAGGGTAGAGAATGGCTCCCAGGCTGGAGGGAGCCCCTTTTCCTGTCTCCAGAATAGGCCTTCCTCCCAGCCTCTAAGGAACTGGGTCTAATTAAAGGGTGAGAAAAATGCAAATTCAGGATTTGCAGAGAACACACCAGGAACTAAACAGCACCTCAGGACTGGCATGCGGAATCTGGACTCATGGACAGAGATGGGAGCTCTGATGCTGGAGCCCTGCATGCCTGAGGCCGTGTCCCCTATCATTTCCTACTGACCCCATAAGCTGCTTGACATGCTGGAAGGTCTTGGGAGCCAAGAGTCCAGGGGAACCCCAGAAGAACCTCAGGGCATAGCCCTCCATTTGGGGGCCAGTTATGGGCCTTTGGCAGAGGAGAGCAGCTGAGTAGGAGCATTTCCCATGAGCCTCCTCATCCAAGTCAGGGACCTTTCCCCCAAGCAAGCCCCTAGTCTCTAGGTAACACCCTTTCTCCAGTCGCTGGATGGGGTGTGTGCTCAAGAGCCATAGCCATCTATCTTGTGGGTCCTGGTGGCCTGCCTGGAACCTCAGGGTCCCCTTTATACAGCGGGACAGTGATGCTGGCCTCCCAAGTAGACCTGGGCCTTGAGTTGCCTCTGATGGCCCTGGAGGAACCAGTGACCACTTACCCAGAGGCACAGGATAGAGCCCCAGGGCTGTTGAACTGACCCTAGCCCCAGGGGTACCATCTCCACTTCAGTCAGAAGCAGCCATCATCTGTCTCCAGGATCCTTGGGGTGTCAAGAGGCAGGCAGTTTGACGGTTAAAGCATCTCACCTCAACCACCCTGACCCTTGGACTCAGGGGTCCATCCAGGAGCTCCACCCTGTGAGCCTGTCAGTGCCACAGGATAATGGAGAACCAGCTGCCAGGGGTGTTGTGAGAACTAAATGAGCTGATGTCGGGGGCCCAGGATGTCAACCTCCACTCTTACCCGAAAGTCGATCCCCACAGTGGAGATGAAGGTTCCTGCCAGAAAAGCTCCATCCTTGAAGCGCACGAGCAGGCAGGTCTTCCCCACGCCAGAGTCCCCCACCAGCATGACCTGGGGTGAACAGGAGGGGCAGAGGGGACCAGGGTGCTGGCCCACTTAGAGGGGTGTCTGGTCTTCCCTGAGCTGATCTGGTCAGAGAGGGGCTGTGGGTGAGGAGCAGGAGTGGAGGGAAGCACCCTAGGCCCACAGGTGGACCCCAGGACTTGGGTTCAGGACTGTCCGAGGCACAGCAGCCACGATTTCAGCTGCCCTGCACCTCCAGCTTCTACCTTTACAGGTTTCTGTCCCCTCTCTCCCCAACAGAGGCCCATCTCAATCAGTGGGGAGTAAGGGCAGCTGCCTCCATCCAGGGCTTTACCTACCCGCCCCCTCCCACTGCCCGCAGACCCTGGACACCATACTTGATCTAGAAGGGGAGCATCTGGGGCTTCATGGGGAGTGGAACCAGGAGGTTGGCAGCTAGGGACTTTCTAGAAGGCCTGTAGGGGCCTCTATGCCAGAGGGTTTCCAATCCAGCCAGACACAGAAGGAATGTGTCACAGAAGGGTCAGATTTTAGCAGGAGGAGGGACCCAAGACAGGTTCATGGACAGGGAGGGGCAGTCAGGCCTAACCCTTCCTCCACCCTTTCACAGCCTGCTGCCAAAGGCTCCAAAACCCAAAGATCGTCCTGCCAAGCCCCTACAATTTCACAAGTTTCTGCCTTGGCCTGGAGGAGGCTCCCGCGCTCCAACCCACTGGCAAACCTCTTCTTAGTCTCCCTGCCCTCTAGAAAAGAGGAGACCCACAGACCCTAGGGCTGAGGGAAAGCAGCATATGGGAAATGTTGAGACTGGGACCACAGCGGGGGCGGAGGCATTTGGGGAGCGGGGAGAGGGCACCTGGCTCTTCCGCGGGACCCCTTATCCTGTTCTGCCACCTGGGGGGTAGGGTAGGGGGCAGGCCTGTGTGGTATCCCAAACGCAGGTCTCACAGCTGTGTGTGTGTGTGTGTGTGTGTGTGTGTGTGTGTGTGCCCGCGCGCGCGCGGGCGATGCACTGTGCCAGCCGCTCCAGCCAGCTCCTTGCCAAGGGTGCGCAGGGTCCTGCACCCCTGCCCTGGAACAGCCCTCCCCCCGCCCCCATCGCCTCCTACCAGACGCCACTTGCTGCGCTTGCATGGTGGGGGTGGGGTGGGTGCCCGGCTCACCTTGAAAGCTACGTCGTAGAAGTCGCCACCACCGCCCAGCGAGGGCCGGCTGGGTTGTGGGGGCCCGTTGGGCGGCGCCTCGGAGCGGGGGCACGCAGTCCCGGGGCGCACCGGCCGGGACGCATTGGCGGCGGGCAACACTGAGGCAGCAGGAGCGCTGGCCTCCTTGCTCCTGGGAGTCTTCTTCCTGGACATGACAGGCGGGGAGGGCACTCAGTGAGTTCCCACAGCAGCCTCCTCACACGCACAGCCAGCCGCCCTGTTCTCTGCTCACACTGAGCTCCACTCGGACCCGAACCCGTCGCGCGGCAGTGGCAGCGGCAGCATCCTGGGCTCCCGGCTCTCCACAGCCCCACCCCCGCCCCACAGCCCCGCAGCCACTCAGCCTCCAGCTTCCCGCCGCAGCCACCAATGGCTGCGCTGAGGCGGGGCCATGCAAATAAGCCGGCCGCCCAGGAGACGGGTCCGGAGGCCCCTGCTCAGCCCTGGGTGAGCCAGTTAGTGCTCCTCTGCCTGGTGGACATAGCTCCGTGGCCACCTCCTGGCCTAGGTTGGAGTGTGGGGCACTGGGTCTGGGTGAGGGAGCATCCGAAATCCTGTCGTCCTCTTCGCGCTGTGCCCTACTAAGGCCCCACGCTTAGTAGGTGGGCATTGACCCCCACTGGACCATTTCTGGGTCTGTGACAAGGGGAGTGCTCTGAGGTAGGGGGCACTGAGGCAGTGGAACTGCAAGGGGGGAGTGGGCACCCTGGGATTCTGTCTCTTCTTAGCCAGAGATGCCACCTGGCCTGTTGCAGAGCCCCCTCTCCTCCAGGGCAGCTGAGTCCAGGAACTCCGGGTTGGCCAATGAACTCCGGGGAACCAAGCACTGAGACTCAGCAGACAGCTGGTTATGAGGCAGGACTTAGCAGGAACCGCTGAGCTTCAGGGCTGAGCTGGCAGGAGCTCTCTCCACACCTCCTATCCGCTAGGCTGAAGTTTTGGGAAAAGGGAAATTGGCTCCACCACAGCCAGCAGCAGGTCCTCTGCTTTCAAGCATCTCATTGGTGAAGGGGGTGGGAGGTCTCTCCCCCAGGCAGTGGCTGGCCCTTGGACTTCCAACACCAGGTTCCACACTGGTCCTTGGTAGACCCCTTTCCAGGGCCTGTCACATCCTCCCCAACTAGGCCACCTGGGACTCTGTCCCAGAACCCCTACCTAAGATGCTCTGGGTTTTGAGAACGAGGCTGAGACTGTAATGGAATCCTGGGAATGATAACCAAGATGCTCTTCTTTCGGGGTTTGGGGGTAGTAGGTGCAGACAAAAGGGCATCACCCCTGGGATCAGTCTCTGCTCCATGTTCTTCTAGGAGCTGGAGGAACGGCTTTGCTCCTGCACCAGGCAGATGTGACAGGTTCTTCAGAGGTCTTAGCCTGGACAGCTGGCAGTGCCCAGAGCTTGAGTAATTATATTGGGCAGACGTTCCACAGGCTCAGAGGTCTAGAAAAGCACAGATGGAGGGATGCTGTCCAGCAAAGCAATTCCTTGAGAGGAACTGGCGGGGACTTGCATGGGGAAGGCTGCGGAAAGCTGCCCTTCATTCAGCACCATCGTGTGCCTGGCACATGTCATTTTCAAAACTGTCCGTGAGGTGTGTGGTGCTACGACCCTCAGTGTTCATATGGGAAAACTGAGGCCCAGAGAAAGGAAGGGAGCTGTCCAAGACCACCAGGCTAGGAAGTGGCGGAGCCAGGATTTGCATGTGGAAACTCTGGCGCCAGAAGGCATAAACTGCCTCACAGCAGGGTGGGCCCACAGGTCCCCTAGAGACCCATCCTTCAGGGCCTTGTCAGAGCTGGGGTACAAACCTGAGGAAGCCCCTAGCCTCCTTTCTTATCTCGTTCCTCTGGAACCCCGCTTTTTCCAGGCCAATGAATGACCAGGTGTGAGGGTAGTAGGACCTGGGGTGGCTTCGTTGGGCTTCCACTACTGTGACCTTAGGTATTCCAGGTATCCCACCCCTCAGAACCCAACTACAGGGTGGCTGGCCTAGGGTCCTACGCAGTGGGCTCCCTGCTTCCTCCTGCCGGCCCCTGCTCAGAGCATCCGTAGGGCATGGAGTTACTGTGGAGTTTGGGTGCCCTATGAGTGGGGGCTACCGCTAGGAAAGCCTGGGTTGGGGGAAGGGGGAGCTAGTGCTGGTGGGGTGACCAGGAAGAGAGGAGGCAGGCATGCTAGAGAGGGTAGGAGACCAGTAGGGAGGGAAGCTGAGGGCAGCAGAGCAGGAAGTCTTGGCCTTGCAACCTTTAAAATTAGGAGAATATATGTGAAACTCCAAGTCTCTGGTTTCTCTTGAAAAGAGGAAGTTCTGGGCCCCTGCATCACAGCACCCGCCTTGCCCCCCTTGCTCTCCAGCAGTCCTCCTAATCTTTGATCATTAAGTCTCTTAGTTCCTCTGTTTGCCATCCATATCACCCTCTGGAATGTAAGCTGTCTGGACACAGGAAGTCTCTTGTCTTGGTCACTGTCATATCCCTGGCAGCTGGCTCTGGGCCTCAATAAATAGTTATTAAATTGGTGAAAGAAATATGAGTTAGAAACATGGGTCCCACACTTCAGGAGGACACATCAGTGCTAACAAGGATGTAAGGCAGAATGTGCTTCAAAGTACAATGACGGGACCATGTGATTGCTATGGCCCCTGGGGCTCAGTTGGTTGGAGTGTCGTCCCATACACCAAAAGGTTGTGGGTTTGATCCCTGGTCAGGGCACCTATGGGAGGTGGCCAATCGATGTTTCTCTTTTTCTCTCTCTCAGATCAATAAACATATTATATATACATATGTGTGTGTGTATATATATATATATATTTTTTTTTTTTAAAGACTAATGTGATCAAGGAGTAAGGGCAGGCTTGGTGGAGGAAGGGAATTTTCACTGGGCTTTGAGGGTTGAGCAGCAGTCCAATAAGACAGGTGGAAGAAGCAAATATATGTGGGCTCAGAGTGCCAGAAGGTGGGCACTTTGAACAGAAGAGGTCAGAGTGTGGTCCAGTTGCTTGGAAGAAATGGCAGGTAACCCAACTGGTAATATAGGAGGGGGACTAGAGTATAAGGCAAACGTAAACATTTTGCCTATAAGCTTGGAGATTGTTCAGCAAGAAGTAGGGAGCCATGCGTGGTTTCTAAGCAGAGCCACAGAGGACACTGCCACAGGAGTACTGCAGAGCAGCAGAAAGGGAATGGATGGTGCAGCCCATGGAAAGGGAAATAAGTCAGAGGAGGGTCAGTAACCTAACGGGAGGTAATAGGGACAAAGGGGACCTCCAGCAGGGATAGAATCGGTAGGCCTGCAGGTGAGGCAAAGAAGAGTCAGAGCCCATGGGGCAGAGACTGTGGAGTGTCTCGATGGATTAGAGATGGCAAATTCTTTGCTACTCCTCCCAGTCAGGAAGGAGGGTCTATGTTCCCCACCCTGGGGTCTGGATAGGAGCTGTGATTGCTTTGCTGGCAGGGGTGACCCTGTGTCCCCTTGTGGACTCAGAATTTACAGACTGGCAGCACCTCCTTCCTGTCTCCTGGAACACTCATTTTTGGAACTCAGCTACCATACCATGATAAAGCCCAAACAGCCCCTTGGAGAGGAACCTGCTTGCCAGCCACGTGAATAGAGAAGGCATCCCGGCAGATTCCATGCAGAGCGGTTACGCCATCCCACTGAGCCCTGACCAAGATGCAGATTCGTGGGCATTTGGGGGGTGTTTGTTATACAGCTGTAGATAACAAGAACAGGCTGCCAGCCAGGGGAAGGAAAGCGGCCCATTTGGTGGGAAATGTCACCAAAGCAACCTTGGCTGGATCTGGGGATGCCCAGAATCTTGGGACCTTCAAACCTAGAGAGAAGAAGACCCTCTGCAGGCCAGGTCAGGTTCCTGTGGCAGGGCATGGAGTAGTGAGCCATGGGGCTAAACAGTGGGAGTGAGGGCATGGGGGGCAGGGCGTGGCGAGGACTATATCCCACTGGGGACAGGGGCCTACAGCCCTCAACCCTGTTGACATAGGGTTGGCTCTGCTATGCAGGGGAGGGTCTACATGTGTTCATGTTCCAGCAAAGGGATGGAGCAACCCAGCTTCCTTGAGGCCTCCCTCCTGGACCCCAACCCCCAGCACCCTCTGGCCCTGATTTCTGGTTCCCTTATATCCTGGGGCTCTAGCTGCTGTACTCCTTCTGGTTGTCTGACCCCCTTGTCCTGGAGTGATATGTACCATGCATCCCAGATGCAACAACCCTCTAGGACCTGTGGTCTGGGGCCGTCTCCCTCTGGGTTCCCATTTTCCAGGCCCTCCTGCTTCACTCGCACATCTCACTCACCCACAGGACATGGCCCTCAAGTCAGGCAAGCTCAGGAAGCAATGAGAGTCCTCTTCAACCTGCTCAGAGCCCACTCTTCCAGGCAGCCTTTTCTGGATTCTCCCACTCCCGCTTCTTATTCCATGGACACTCAAATTTGCTGTCCAGTGGTCCACTGCAGGTGGGGATTGTCCTGTTTCTGCACCAGCCTATGAGCTTCCTGAGGACAGTGTGGATGCTGCTTGCTCCTGCCCACTCCTGCCCCTACGAAGCACTGAATGGGGAGCTCTGTGACTGAGCAGGACAGAGCTAGGCTAGGCTTCAGAGGTCCTTTAGCAAGGGGAATACGAAAAAGCCCCAAAGTTTGTGCCCCCAGAGTGCCTTCCAAGAAATCAGTCCTACAGAATTCAGCTGCCTGAAATCTCAGGGAAAGGAACCCTGGCTGGGAATGGCACCAGGAGGTAGAGGGCACTGCTGGGTCCTGACTTGCTGTGTGACCCTGGGCATATAGCATCCCTTCTCTGAGCCTGTTCCCCTCTCTGTGAAATGAGGAGGTGGAAGGAAATGATTTCTGAGGTTCCTTCCAGCTCAAACACCTTATGTTCTATGAAATCTGCATGAATGTTGCCATGGAGACGTCAGAGAAGAACTGCAGCAGCGCTAAATGTGACTTCCACCCCAAACAGAGAAGAACCCAATCACCCCAGAAGCAGCTGATGTCAAAGGTGCACCTCCCCACTGTGCTCGATGCCCAGGTGCAGACCTCTTGCCTTGGTGACACTGAGGCCCTACCTGGCAGGTGAGAAGGTAGGGGTGTTTATCCCTGTTTGAACAAGGAAAGGACTGTTCCACAGAGGGCTGGGGCAGAGGGGGCAGATCCACCCTCTGCCGTCACTCCCCAGAGCACCTCAGGTTCTCACACGTGAGTACTCTTGGAAGTTTCAAGATGAAAAATGTGCCAACTGCAGAACGGGGGATTAGGAGGGGCCCGCTCTGCTCCAGACCCTGCACTGAGGCCCCA